TTTTTTTTTTTGGTATTATTCGATTTATTCATATTTGAAAGGATGCACGTCTTCGTTGTTATTGCGTCATGCATTTTAAGTGAGCGGAAGTTTTAAATTTTTTTTTTTTTCTTGATTTGCTTTGTCATGGTAGAGGAAAAAAAAGGAATATTCCCAAAGTTTATTTTATTTTTATTTTTTGTTACTCATAAACTCGTTGGACAACAAAAAAAAAAAAACGAACATTAAAATCAAATAACTAACCATTGATTCAAAAAAAAAAAAAATTAGCTGTATTTATTTTTGAATAGGAATAAAAAAAAAAAAAAAATCTTTTTTCTTTCTTTGAAAAACTCTTTTTTTAATCTAAATAACAAACAAACGAACAAAAAAAAAAAATTTCGTTTCTTGTTTTTACTCATTATCGGAATGAAAAATAAATAAAATAAATATTTGTTTACTATAGATAACTGAGATAACTGCCAATAATAATTAGTAAACACATCATTATTAATATATATATATATATATTGGATTTGATGACTAATAATAACCTTGCATGTTTAAGTTATGGGAAAGAGAAAAAAAATTTTTTTTTAATTTTTTTGGGGGGATGGAATATTTCTTGGAAGGCTTGAAAAAAAAAAAGAATTAAGATGGATGTTTCCAAAAAAACAGAAAAAGAAGGTGTTTTCCAAAAAAAAAAAGAACACCCAGTAAAATCGATGTTCGTGCCACATGAGAAAGAAAGTTATAATCGGAATTTTAATCGGAATTTGTGAAATTAATTTTTACCGTTATGGAAATATGGCTTTTGATTGGTTTCGGAACAGTTTACGTTAACATTGATGATTATCGGATACTTGAATCATGGAAATCACTTTTATTGTTACAAGACTTTTTAACGAAGATCAAAATAATTGATAGTTTACAATGTCAAAACATTTGAATATTGTTTGATTGTTAATAATACTATAGAGAAATTTGTTTGGGAAAAACATCAAGGAATAAAGTGAATGACATAAAAGTAATTAATGTTTGGCGCTAAAAAAACTTGAATGTTTTATGGTGGCGTAGATCAAATTTACATGAACAATCATCATATACAATGTCACTTCTTAAAATAAATGTTGTGTTTGATCAAAATTTTCTCATTTACAAATAAAAATAAACAAAACCAAACTTCAAATGTCACAATAGTCGTTCATTCCTCAATTCTCCTCATTCATCAGGTTTTTAACCCCCCCTAATTTAAAAAAAATAAAAATCCCAATCACTAACTGAATTAATAATGACAGCAATTGTTGTTGTTGGGATGGTTCAATTATTTGATATTGTGTGACATTGACCCGGAGCTGACCTTGTCCCCTTTCGTGTAAATTCTCTAGATTTTCCCGCCCCCCATTTTATCACACAGGCTGGACAACCTTTTTTTTTAAAAAAAAATCTATCACGTAACACATCGTATTATGAAGACAAAAGAAGTAGTGTATTTGGACAAAAAAAAAAATCCCTCATATACTGTTCATAACCACGAAAAAAAAAAATAAGCTAATTCTTTCTTATTTAGTTTCGAGAATCTTGATAAATAAACCCCCTTCGCTTACCCTTATTTAAAAAGACAAAGCATTTTTACGCCCAGACAAATGTTTAGACTATGTCACATGTAAATACATATTTTTAATTTCTCCACGTCCATTTTTGGAATCCACTCATTGTATCGAAAAATGGAAAAAATTATGTATCAAAATTCAAGATTTCAGCGAGAATTGATCAAGATTACTAAATTATCTAAAAAATTTTTTTGACCATTCTGATCTGCATGCAACCTTTTTTTCAAATTTGGGTTACAAGGGAAAACACAGTTCTTTGCACGTGGAGGAAAACGGTCATGTTGATTGATATATATAACGATACGCAGCATTTTTGTTATACATTACATCCTTTCGGAATAAAAATTTCTTTCACCTAAATAAGGGCTATTTTACTTTTGTCTTTCATCAAAGATTTTTCTCATAAAATGCGCAAGGAACGTAATAAAGATGACATGTAAAATAACAATTCATCATTGAACGAACGATCTCCGGTAATGAACCCGTGAAAGTGATTAAAATTTTAAGTTGTCACATCAACATCACAATGCCCATCACCATACATCTGCGATAGAATTATTGAAAATTGTTCAGGGACATGATGTATTCTTTATTCATAAGAACGATACCGATGATCCGTAAGTCATCATTTTGACGACATTTGGGTTGAACGATTGATTCCCATCGAGAAAAATCAATTTTGATTGTTTTTTAGTATCTTGAACAAATCATTGACGGCTAAATTTACTAAAAATTTCAATCCCTTGGATTACTGGTAAAGATGAGCTTGATCTGTGAGCTTGCGTGGACTCGGAAATTTAGGAATTGAAATTAGGAATTTATTATGAATTTCTTTTCTTTTTTCCGTCACATCACGCATCTCATTTTAATTGGACCATTTAATCATAACATTCGGCCATATCTCTCGAGAAAGTTATCACGTGATGTCGAATTTTAAAAGTAAGAAAGATCTTTTTTTTTTTTTTAAAAAGAAAAAAAAAAAGGAATGAAAAGGAATGAAAGAGATAGCCCCTTCTTGAAATCGACCAATCAAAAATTTAATGTTATGACCCCTTTTTTACTATTAATAAATTTTCATTCTGGAATAGCACACTAAACCGATTTCATAAATTATATGTAACACCAATAAAGATCAAAACGTCATCTTGCTTTTGTATCACCAGAGTATACAAAGTAGCGAAAGGTTCTCTGATCTATTTAAAATTAATATCTTCATTATATGACGATACCCTTCTTGTCCATGAATTTAAAATTCCTAGACGATAGGTATTTGGTATTTCTTATCTTTTTTTCTCGTTCTTTATTAAAAACATGATAATCTTTTTTTTCATTTTATTTTTTTTATTTTTATTTTTCTTTGATTAATATAAAATAGCGAATAAATCGAAAGATGTTATAATAATAATCACATCGATTAAAAATTCATTGGTTTAAAAATATCACACGACAAGACACGAAAAATTTCACTTTAATATACATAAATAATATCACAATATATTGTCCGATAAATTTTTTGGGAGTTTATCAATCAGTCCACAATCGGAAATTATAATGAAATGAAAGTTCAACGACCGCGTGACGCGTACTTCATTAACCTTCCAACAAAGGACAACAAGGCGTACAGGTTAAATTAATCAAAACTCAAATAATTGATATTTTATGTGTTGAAACATTATTTACAGTTGCGATAGCATAAAAGGTTTTCCCGAAATAACTTTTTAATTAGTAAGCTCAATATAAACATCATAAATAAATTAATTAAAACCAGTTTGTCTCCCGATTTCATTGTAATGCCACTTTAAGTTCATATCATATAATCAATCATTAGGTTTGTAAAACTGTTCGGATCAAGATTATTACAAGAATCCCCTTCAAGGACCAGCAAAACAAACTTGATTTGAACCAATAACAAGAGAAGCAATTGTTTCAAAAATGAATCTTTGCCCGTTATTGATTTGATTAATATGATATTAGGTTTCATCAAATATTTAAGAATTGTCTTTGTGCATACATTCTGATCTACAATATTTTTTTTTTTTTTTTTATAAAAAAACAAAAATGGCAAGATAAAAATAAGGTTTCGTTGAATAAACAATGTTCTCTCCTGAATTGTTTCATTGTAAACATTGTAGAAAGTTCTTGGATTCTTTTTTTCCTTTTTTTTTTTTCTTGCAGGCAAATAAGATTTCACGCCATCGAAATGATTTGTTTACGGAAACCCCTAATCAATAAATGTTACATTGTAATATATAAATGAAAAATTTTATCAAATGTAAATAATTGTTTATTTGTTTTAAGCCTTTTACTTTTAAGATCTCAAGTTGTGTGATATCAAAGAATCTAATCAAGTTTAAATCAAAGTGTAAAAAAAAAAAAAATTTCAACCGGTTATCCTTGCAATAATAATAATAATAAATAATAATAATAATAATAAAAAGAGGGCCGCTGGCTTGTTCACCTAACTTGTAGATTTATTTTAATGGTGTTACATAACGTTGCGTCATTTAAATTTTATTTTATTTTTTTTTTTTTTTGATCATTGTTGCTTTTAACTTATTAATCGTAACAATATAAGTACGCATATATCATGTTTTGTACGTCCACATGCACCCAATCTCGCGAAGAATATTAAATGTTTTTAATGTTTACTTGTTTTTGAGTTCATGAGTTACTGAAGGCTAGGGAATTTGCAACCCTTTTTATTTTATTTTTTAAAAATGAATTTCCAATTTTGATCGTGACACAACAAATTTTAAAGTTTTCATTTTACTTGATCTTTTTCAAGACAAGTTAGTGCATCATGAACGCGCGACTCATCATGTTTCATTCAAATTCACTTAAAAGTACCGAACGGAGTTTATTAATTTAATAATAAATGAGCTCTTTTCAATCATCCTTATTATACCAGAAAGGTTATATATCGATACGAGAAGTTTGTGCGACCATATGTTCATGCAGGCTTTTGTCGTCTTAAACGGGTTAACAAATAAATTGATCCATGCAGATCAATATAATGGCAAAAACATGTTTATAGAAAATTTTTTTTTTTTTTACTGCGCGCGTTCAAGATTACGACCGAAAAAAACTTGGCGTTTCAACCCAACTATGCACACATTGACAATTGACGCAACCTTTTGGTTTTGTTTTTTTTTTTTTTTTTTTTTGAAAATTTATCTTTTATTTTGTTCATCAATTGGTAAATCAATTAAGATAACCAAAATTTAGTTAATAATAAACAAGAGAGAGAGAGAGAAAAAAAATCCCTTGAAAAGAAGACCCAAAAACATATAAAGAATTTTAAAAACCTAATGATTCTACATATTTACTAAAGCACTCCAAAAGACTTAACCTTTTTTTTTTTTTTTCGTAAAAAAATAATAAAATACACGAAGAAATTTTTTTTTTTTTTTATATTTCATCCAAATTAATGACTCTACCACCCCTTGAAATGCTTGGAATTCCCTTAACGTTTCGCTTATCATTACCCTTGCCGATTTTGATGTCGGCGCAGTTTATGTACAATTCTTTGGTCACCTCGGCATCCCATCTGAATCTCAAAGTGCAACGTTCGCAGTTAACATTTGGTAATGTAACTTTTTCGCTAAAGTCACCGTTTTCATCGGCACATTTGTCTAATTTCTTGATATCTTTGAAATCGGTGTCTTTACCAGTGGTGGAGAGTTGAACGGTGCAGGTTCCACGGTGAGCAGCGGTAATCTTCCATTTGATCGGGATGATTTCACCGGCTTTGAATTCTGCTTTCACTGGACCCTGAGCATTACCGGCACAAGGTTCATCCTTGGTTGGACCGTTAGTGACTGAAAACCCTTGAGTATCATCACCAGGCTTAAATCTGATGGGAGGATCAACCATACGACCGTGAGCCGAAACTTGTCCAACAAGGACGATCAAGAGTGAGAAGACGAGAATGATTTGTTTAATAGAGAGAACACCCGCAGATTTTTTGGATTGAGTAGAGAAATACATCATTATTATTATTATTATTATTTTGGAGAAATGTTTTTTTTTTTTATAAGATTTGACTGGCAAATATATAAATTTTTTTTTACGAAAAATAGTTTTCTTTTTTTTTTTTTTTTTTTGTCTTTGAAGCGCGGCTCCTAAAAGACAGATATAGGGAGTAATTTTACAAGAGGGGTTTTTAAATTTTTCTTTATTATGGGTTATTCCTTTCGCGGGATTTTCTTATCAAAAGAAAACTAAAAGCTGTCGGAATGAGGTTTTTGGAGGGAGAAGATGGGATGCGTTTATATAGAAATTTCTTTCCCCTTCAATTTCATTTGTGACCTCACATAACGGTTTAATACCTGAAATCTGTTTTGAGTTTTTTGTTTTCATGTTTACCAAATATGTAATTTAATGTTCCTTGTCTTTACACCTTTGTTTATTTCGTTTTTGGTAGTTTGCATTTAAATTTCTAATATAAAGTTATATTGTTTATGGATAATATAGGAAAAGTCTCTTTGTTGATGATCAATTTTCGGTTTCTGCAACGTGACACCAAAAATTTGAAACACAAAAAAAAAAAACCAAACAACTAATTTCTTTGAATTGTATCGTTTCGAGATACGAAACAAAGAGACACTCATACATGTCTTTCGCGTTAAAAAAGAAAAAAAAAAACTCCAAGGAAAATCCCACTTAAAACAAAAGGATGAATTCCAGTCCGGATGCCGAAAAAATTTCCGATAACCACATGATCTATACATTATAATCAATTAACCAATTTCTGTTTGTTAAACTATAATTAGATCTCACAAATGGCGTAATGATACACATGATGACCAAAAAGCGTTATTATAACCATAATTCATTTAAAAAAAAAAATTCTTTTTTTTTTTTTTTTTTTTTTCTTCAAGTTTGGAAATCTTGTAGCTTAGCGCCCTTTTTTTTTTTCATTTTTTTTTCAGCTTTAGAAAGTTCCAAAAAAAAAAAAAAATGAATTTGTCATCCAAAAACGAAAAAAACTCGGAAGATTCGGTATCCTCCTTTTTTCTTTGATTCGTTTATGACAAATTGAAAAAAAAAAAAGATTCAACGCTAAAGGTTTCTTTAGGAGTTTTCAACGTATTACACTTCAATCACAAATGTATAAAAGGCAAATTATGTTGATTATCTTGGCCATCATTATTAATCATCATGATCATTAATTTAACGCGAAGGAACGTCTATTCCTTAAAAGTGGTACAAGAACATCGTCAGCGGCGTACAAAGATTTCCCGCTCAAATTCGTTCCCCATTGTTCTAATTTAAAAGTTGGAACACGACTGCAAAGTTAATGGATTTGTTTAACAAATCAAATCAATTTCTTCTACACTGCATTATATCTGCAAAAGAATAAATTTTATTATGAAATCTGTCGGAAGTTTAGTTTATCATAGGAAAAGGTGAGAACAGGTTAACCACAAATGGTAATTACAAATACACCAAGTGCACAGGTAAAGAGGCTTTACAAATTTCGAAATCTAACATCATAATATCATATACATATACATACATACATATAATAAAGGAGAAATTTTTTAGAAAAAAAGGGAATAAAAAAAGAATAAAGGCTAAAAATCGGAATTAGTAGTTACATTCGGTGCGCTTCAATCATGCAATCATTTTTTTTTTTCTTGTGATTCTTTTTTTAACAAAGATCGTCGGAGATCATCTTGTGTAAATCACAAGCTCAGAATTTGCTATTTTTTTTTTTGAAAAATCTCCAACATTCCGTGCAAAACCACCATTCAGCGAACGGACTAGTTCACCTTCCACAATCTCTGAGAGATAAAACGGGTATTTTTGCAAAGTTAATGATGATAGCGTGATTGATCATCAGATGGATTTGTTTCCCCAAAAAATGATGTTCCCTGCAAGGGCTAACACTACAAATTGATAAAAGCTTATTTCTATACAGACAAATAAAGTTTCGTTGTCGGATATTATTCACTTTTCGTGCATTAGGTAAGTAACGTGGTCATACGAATCATCGATAGACTTGACGAATTAATTAAATGAAATGATTTTCTGTTGAAGCCGCAGCGTTCAAGATATGTAGGAGGTAATTTTTGATGTTTCGAGTGTCTGATGAGTCATCAAACGTTTGTCTTGGCTCAAATATTAATCGCACGAATGGGAAATCGCGGGTGTTTTTTTTTCTCTTTTTTTTTTGGAGTAGAGCCTAATAATAATCACCTTTTGGTGAAGGTAGGTGATATTTGAGCACTGTTTGAGAACATCACACAGATTTATTATTCCCTTTAAGTACAAATATTACCCTGTGCTTACCGTATGGACATGTTCAATATCCTGATATATCTATCCTAAATTCACAATATTGTTCTTGTTTTCTATTTTTTTTTCCTTTTTCTTTTTATTCCGATTCCCACGTTTAAATTGTTCTTATGTGTTTTGTTTATATTAAATAAACTCCAAAATAGTTTCATGCAAACATCATCAAATTAAAAGGTTTATTTGATTATCCATTCCATCCTGGAATTACTTTTTCTGGATCCGCTTACGATATGATCATACAATGTCGAATAATTTGTGTATTGTACATCTTTATTTTTGATTTCTCGTAGAGAAAGTAAAAAAGTAATACTAAGGTTTAATTTAAAAAAAAAAAAAAATCTTGTCCCGGATTGGAAGGTCGTCTCACAATGATTATTATATAGTTGGTTTCAACAATAAGAGGAAATTGATATATCTTATTGTAAGACGTCACATTATGAGGATCTTTTTTCTCTTAAAAGCGAGGATTCTTCGATCACCTGATTTCTTGGCCCAAGGGCTGTGTACGTCGACGATCAAGGGACACTTGATTGGTTTCAAGAACAAAAAAAAAAAAATTATTTTCATTGAAGAAAATTTTAGATTAATAATAATAATAAAGGCAATGGGTGAAAAAAAAAAAAAAAAAAAAATTTCTATTTTCAAAGAACGTTAAATGTCTGACATTCAAGGGGGTGGGGGTACAAAGAAAATATCAGCCGCATGATGAAATGTTTTCATTAAAAAAAAAAAAAAAAATTTAACATGAAACGATTTTGAGAATCGAAAATTGCGACGCAGACATTATTATTACCACCTCAATGACCCTCGGGGAAGGAGGAAAAAAAAAAGAGACGGACGAACAGAAATTCCATTCTTTTCAAGAATGACACCAAATTTGGTTTAACCTGTGGCTAATTGTGGCTGTGGAACGCACAATGACCATTGTTTTTTAAGAATAGAAGGGGCTGATTAGCTCATTATTACCTTAACCAAATAATAAAATAATAATCATTATTTCCGCCACCGATGCCACAATGACAAATTAGTTATTGAATCAAATCTGGAACATACGAGAGGTGAACAGAGGAAAAAGTAATTTCTAATCAGCAACTTATTTTTCTTATTTTTTTTTTGAGGTATAAAAAGTGTAAGAAAACATCTATCTTTCAATTAAATGAAAAAACTAGATTTAAATGAATTTGCTTTTACTCGCAAATGATTTGAAATCAATGCAGTTTCTTGATTTAGTAAGAAATTCCTCACCGGAATAAATTTGATTCATTTTAAGAATGGCTCATTGATTGGTGATTAATTGATTTCTAATAATGAATGTTGTAAATGATCCATAAAAAAAAATAAAAATAAAAATAAAAATAAAATAAAATAAAAAACGCCAATTTAATATTGCTGCGCCACCCCGAACAAAAATAAAGAAAAAAAAAATAAAATAACGCTTACACCCGATATGTACTTGATAAGAAAGCGTGGACCCCAATTAAAGAAATATAGAGGAGTACAATATCCGTAATTCATCTTTTGTGTTGATTTATTAAATATATTGTATTGACCAAAAGCAATTATTACAACTTAGGATTAGGATGAGAAAAATTGAGTCGCAACATAAATTTTTAAAATTGAGATGTTTACTTCTCAATAAGTGAAAGAAGGGAATGTGTGATATCGAACACTCCTGTATGGGAGCAAGAAAACCTGGTGATGATGTGAGAATCTCGCGACCTCAAAATGAGTCTCACGTGACGCCCAAATACTGAAATAAATCGCTAAAAAGAGATGTGAAAAAGGAAAATTTCCAAAAATGTGATAACATATTTCATTTAAGGATCACATATATTCCCCAGTGTTTGGTTATTGTAAAGTATGTACATTCAACTTGAAAAAAAATTTTTTGGACCCTTTTTGATGTGACTATTGATGTGACATGAGGAGATATCCATTTAAAACGATGAATATTTCATCAATTCAAAAGAAAAAAAAATGGATTTTTTTTTAAATTAATTAATTAAAGGACAATTCTTTTTTTTATACACATTGTTGTAATGGTCGTTTGATTCAATAGAAAATAAATTGTAATTGTTACGTGGGTATTTTTTAAGGCAAAGAATGTTTTTGAAGGAATAAACGATCAGTTCAGTTTAAAATGAAATAAATTGCTTGCAGGAAGTACCTTTGGTTCCGTTTCATTTTAACGGTGCATTACGAGGTTGATAATAATATGAAATCATTAACAATTGTCTTTACGACAAATTTCCGGCGTTTAATTTTTTTTTTTTTTTTAATAGTTTTAGAGAAAGGCACATGGAACCATATTTTTAGGGGATGGAGACCTATTTCCATTTTTCGCACTACCATACATAGGCTTTGACTGATCCCTCACGGTAATTTTGGAAATTTTTTTTTTTTAATTTAACTATTGAAAATTAAAATAACTACTTGATAACCATAAAAAGAATTTACCATTATTTAATGTGATACACTAAAATCTTTATTCTAAAAAAAAAAAAAAAAAAAAAAAAAAAAAAATCTTAGTTTAATTTAATAAAAAAAAAAAAATTTTTTTTTTTTTACACAACTTAAAAAAAAAAAAAACTTATATCCGTGTAACAGTTTAAACTATATATAAAGGTGGGAAAAGTTTTCCAATTGACCTTTCATGGACATTTCGAGAAAAAAATAATTTTCAATCCACCTAAATACAATCCTTCTCTTGGGACGGAAACACCCACTTTATTCTTTACTATCAGAGAACATATAACCAACCCCCGTTTGCCAAGGACAAACTTCCCTTTTTTTTACTATTAGTGATTTTGGTGGAGAATTTACCGTTCCAATACTCCACTTAAATTTACTAATAAAAAAAAATTTTTTTTTATTTAAATCTATCTTTATTATTTACATTCTTTTTTTTGTAATTTTTTTTTTTTTTTATCTAAAAAAATTTTATTTGTTTTTTTGTATCTTTTTTTAACCTCTTCTCAACAAACACACACACACACACGAAAAAAAAAATTAAAATTTAAAAATGGATGTGGAAGCGAGAAGGAAATTCTGTGGCTTACTTATGTTTGACATCCCAACAATTTCTGTCAAATCACCGACGTCAAGAAACAACGATATTATCATTAATAACATGTCAACGCAGGAAGTTGACCCTTCCTCGTTAAATCACAATCCTCTCTATGAATCCTCTCGTAATGCAGGTTCATTGATGAATTCAATAGATCATCAATTCATTATACAAGATGGTTTCTCGCAAATTGGCGACTTTTCTACCACCACGCGCGCTTTAGCAGCGGGTGCAGCAGCTGGTGACGACCCAACAAATCAAGGAACCCTTGATTCTTCAAATGCAACGGATGGAGACACAAAGTCACAACCTCCAAAAAGGACTCCTAGACCACCAAACGCCTTCATCCTTTACAGAAGAGCGAAACAACCGGCCATCATAGCATCTCAAAGAAGTTTGACGAACGCCGAAGTATCAAGGACTATTTCAGATATGTGGCGTAAGGAACCAGAAGAGACACGGTTAGAATGGGAAAGATATGCTGATCGGAAGAAACTTGAGCACATGCAAACGTATCCAAATTATGTGTACAGACCCAACAAGAACAAGTCCAAGGTCGATAAAAGAAGGCAGAATCGAAGACAGAACACAAAAGATTCAACGAATGCTTCAAATGACCCTTCCAACTCAGAAAATAAAACTACGGGCACCAGTGCGATCACTCGAAGAAAGTCAACAAAGACCGCAAGTAGGCTACCTTCTAAATTGGACATGCCTTTATCAATGAACATTGGAATGACCGGGTTCAATATGCAACAACAATCCCCCTCAATCTCACCTATGAATCAACATCCACCTTCCGCAATTTCGACTTCACGTACCGATACCATGAACTCAACTTCCTCGTACACCACAATACTTCCGAGTCCTGAGATTCCTTTGTTGACCTCTCATTTTACGGATAGCCCTGAAGATTACGTTACTTCGCAATCCCAGTTCACCCCATTAACCCCGGACACCCCGCTCACCCCCATTTCAACTCCTGAACAAATGCAAATACGCGAACACGACTTCAAAATCCGTCAACAACAACAGTTCCAAAATAGTATATTGCGTTTCGTCCCTGAAGAAGAATTGAATGTATATCAACAACAACAGCATCATCAACAACAACAACAGCATCATCATCATCAACAACAACATCATCATCAGCAACAACATCATCATCCGGGAAACGTTCCGCAATTCTCCTTTCAGTCCATAAATGGATTAGCTTCTTTCCATCATCATCCCACGAATGGTTTTTCTCATCAAACGGTCGACCCGTTGGAATTTTGCCTCGTCCCTGACGTTGCACAACAACAGCAGCAAATGATGGCCGAGTTTATGCTTCATCATGAGCCACATCACATCACCCCTACGTCAACTGTTCCATCTTCAAATAATGGTTCCATCCATCCCGCTTCATCGATTCCTGTTCAGTATTATTCTAGCGGATCGAATGCGGCTGCTGCGCTCACCGGTAATCCTTCATTTACCGAAATGCTCGGGTTCGAATTCCAAAATTTTTTGGGCGAGAATCACCATCATAATGGTAATGGTCTTGACGTCAATGCTTCAGATCACTACCTTCAATGAAAAATATATATATATATATATATATAATATTTTTTTGCATATTCTTTATTGAGAAAGAAAGAAAAAAAGAAAACTAAAAAAAAAAAAAAACAACAAAAAGAAGAAAATATTTATTATTATTTATATCCATAAAAAAAAAAAAAAAAACCATCAAATAAAAACAAAAAAAAAGGGTTCCTTTTTCTTTACAGTTGGATCGCTGATTTTGGGTTTAATTTCTATATTTTTTATTTATTCTTTTCTCTGGTATTTGGGTTAATTATATTTCTTTTTCTTTATGTACATTTTTTTTGTGTAACTTTTTGAATTTTTTTTCCTTTCCCCTTTCCCATTTCCCACTCTTCCCCCTTTTTTTAGTAAGTACTGGACATTTTTTTTTTTTAATCTTCTTTTTTATTTATTCAACAATTTCCTTTTTTTTTCTTTTTTTTTCTCTTCTCTTCTTTTTTTCTTTGTTCACTACTACTTTAGACGGCGGACTTAGAAAAAGAATGTACCATACAATTTGATTCGTTATTTATATATATATAAATATATACATTACAAACCTAACTTTACATACTCTTAAGTTCAAAGAGCCTTGTAATATCAATTGGGAATTTTATAAAGTGAAAAGAAAAAATGTGTACGGGTGGTAAGGTGTTAATTTTACTTTATATCATTTGGCGTCAATATAGCTCAATACCATTTTCCAAGAATTGATCTTTGTATAAAATTAGCGAAGCACACAACACTACTAGTAGTTAAAAAAATTTGAAAAAGGAATTAGCAAACAGTAAATAGAATAGATATCGATTCTTATTTCTTTTATATTTATCCACAACAAAGTGCTTTTTTTTTCTAAAGCATATCATTTATCCTTTCTCACCCTTTCATCACAATCGCTCTCCTCTTTTTTTTTCTCTTTCAATAATTTCAATAATTTCATTTTTTTTATCTAATCAAAAAATGATCATAGACATTATAGGATAGGTTTTTATTAGTACATTTATAATTAATTAATTTTTTTCGCAATAGATAGATTTGTCCTGGTAAACATTTTTTTATTATTTTTCTTTAGATAAGAAAAAAATAAAATAAAAATTTTTTGGGGTTGTTGGTTATGTTCTCTACAAATATTATGACTTCGAGAATTATTATTAGTGTTGTGTGCGTTTGCTAAGTTTGGTGAGAAAGTTAAAATCATTATGAGATGACACATCCGACATGCGCAGTTACACTGCGCATGACAAGAACTGTCCCAATACAATAACAAAACAAATGAGACGAAAAAGGTGTATAACGTTTTGGATTATGACAATTTTATAAATAATCGTTGATTTTGGCTTATTTGGGTTTATTTTTTTTTAAAAGTTCAAAATGGAAACTCGCGTTTCAAACCATACTATTGTTCAATTATTGAAATTTACGTTTTGATTGTTCAAATTGCGTTAGAATTCGGCAATCATCAGCAATCATTGACAATCATCCGAAATTATGACCAATTAAAATCCTTTGAAGATAAATGTTTCGTAAAAACCTGATTCAAAGTAACGTCTTTACTAAAACGATTATCCGAGCTAACAAATTGTTTTAGGAGTAAGGTTTCCAAACCCCGATTCGAATTTATTTCGCGCTTTATGTTTTTTTTATTTTTTTCTTAAAAATAAAATTTTACAATGGAAATACCGTTCATCGAATAGGCGATCTTGTGATTTTTCAGACATTTTTATCGTAAAAAATAAATATTTTTCATCAATATATCTAAGAAACGTCTCGCTCGTAATCAAAGAATGGAAGCAAAGAATAATGTGATAAGTTCCCGAATTAATAAATACGGGCGGGTCATATAGATACCCAATTTTACAATTTATAAAGGAATATGTAGAATGCTGTTGTATTTAAATGTCCCGTCTAACATGTCCAATATATTTATATTTCCGCCGGACATTAAAAATCTAAGCCACATTTTTTTAATGCCACTTCCTTCTTTATTGACAAAAAATATTGTTAGAACTGAAATTAAAGTTAATAAATGTAATTTTTTTGTAAAAGAAGTATTAGAAGAAAATAAATGAAATAGATTTCCAAATAAAAATTCGACATTTTAAGAAATGTTTTAATTTTCTTAATAAAACAATGACAAAATAAAGAAAAGAAATTTTCCAATTAAATATAACTCAAAACTTAAACAAAAAGACCAGGTAAATTTAAAATATAATAATTTATAATTAATTGAAATTAATTGAAATTATGCTAATATTTTTTTTATTTATAGTTCAGATTTTATATTATCACAACCTTCTTTTACTATCAAATTTTTCTCATAAATAATATCTTATTTGAATTTATAGATAATTAAATTGTTCAATCTTTATCTAAAAAAGATTTTATATATAATTCTAAAGCAAAAATTATTTGAATTTTTAAATTCTTTTTAAAGCTATTTAATTATCATACTCTTGATTGTTAAATTTTAAAACAAGCTATAAATAAATAAATATAATAATAGATATTATATTTAAAAGAATATTTAGTGCATTTAATAAATACATAAATTAAAAAAAAAAAATAAGCAATTATTAAATTCAATTTTATTATCTTTAAAAAAAAAGTCATATATAAAAATTAGTTCTAAATAAAAATCATTAAAGTAAATAAAAAAACATTAAAGTTTTTAAAAAGATATAATATATATAGTTATTATTAAGGATCTTTATTCTTTTTTAAGTCAAAATATTTTCAGATTTAGCATTAATTCATTTTTATTTTTATTTTATCATTTCTTCCTTTTTTATTATAAAGATCCTATATTTCTTACATAAACGCAAAAAAATTTCAGTTTAATTGTAAATTATTTTTGCATTATATATATTTTATATCTAAAAAAATTTAATAACTTTATAATTTGTTTTAATAGATGTAAATAACATTTTAATATAATAATAAATAAAAAATTATTTTTAAATTATTTTCTTTTATTTATTTTTTAAATAATATTCTGTTATCTAATTCAGTCTAATAAAATATAAAATAAATTAGAATAATGAAAATGTTATAACTAAATAAAGATGTGATATTTCTACTATTATTATTTTCAGTATATATTATATTTATAAAAATTATATATATTTAATATTTAATATAACTTTCTATAATAGAAATAATTACTTAAATTCTAAAGGATACAAAATTAATTAAAATTTAATATATATTTTTTAAAAATTAACTTTTATTTTTTGATAATTATTTCTTATATAATTAAATTACTTAACTTTAATCAGCTATTAGATAATTCTGATACTATTTTATAAAAATAAGTTTTTTAACTTTATTTATAAAAGAAATTAAATATAATATATATAATTAAATACCTCTATTTTTATATTTTAAAAAAACTAATAAACTTCTTTTAAACTTTAATATATAAAATTTTTTATTTTTAAAATAATATTTATTAATTGTTATTAATAATTTTATTACAAAATTTAAAACTTAAAAGATTGTCTATTAAAAATAAAACTCTAAATTTAACCTAATAGATCAGATGATCTGACAGATTAATCTAAAAAATTTGAATTATATCAAATAAGATATCTGATCTTTTCTGATTTGAATTTTTTAATTAAAAATTTAAAATTTAATATCTTAGTTAATATCAATTCATTTAAGATAAAAATAACTATCATTTAATTTATTATATTAAAATAAATCTAATAAGTTATAATATATTATTTATCAATCAAGATACTAAGATATTTCAAAAAACTATTTTTTAAATTTTTTTTTTGATACGATTTGTAACATCTAATCTAATACTTTAAGTTAGATTAAGTTAATTATTTGATCTAATCCAACTTATTTAAAACTTTAATTAAGAAAATTTAACAATTTTCACAGATATTTTTTAAGTAATATAAAGTTTTTAATATTTAAAATAGCATTTTTTTGCTCAGAAGTAATTTTTTTTGCAAAAAACTATTATTATAAAAATAATATATGTAAATAAGTATAAAATTAACAAAATTTTTAAAAAATTTAAATAAAAAACTAATGTAATTTTGATTAGATAAATATTATAAATTATTATAAATAGCTTTATTTTATTATTTATATACTAATAATAACTGATTAATATTTTATAAAAAAATTATTTAATAATATTATTATTTCTTATATGGTGCTGAAAGTTTTAACTCAACAATGTTTCAAAATTTTTTGTGGATTTTATATCACATGATTAGTAATTAACTAATGAAAAATAAAATATTAATCATTTTTTTTGTATATCATTTTAAAATCACAATAATTTGAACTGATATTATAATTAATTACCATAATATTAGCTCAAATTATCATAAATTTTAATCAATAATATATATTTCAAATTCAGAAAACCATATGAAAATCATCTAATTTTAAATACTTATAACTTTTTATATAGAATTTATTTTGAAAAACTGATTGGTAATTTAATAGAGCTTATCTCAAAAAATAAAGTTATCAGTTTATTTTTTCTAAATTATACTTTTTTAAAGATTTTTAAGTATTACATTTATATTATTAAGTATAAACTTTCTATATCATATATTATAAATGACTTAATATATTATAATATGATGAAGTATATTATTAGATTTAATTTTAATTAGTTTAATATTTAAATTAGAAGAATTATATAATTAATTCTGCTTATTAAAATTTATGATCTTAGAATATTCTCTAAAGTCTAGGTCTATATATTTATTATAATTAAATTAATCTACAATTATATATTGTAAAGTTAAAATAATATATTATATAACCTTACTAATAAAAAAAAATATTATTAGAAGAATTATAATATAGTAAAATTAAAAAACAAATAATTAAACAAAAGATTATAATAGATAAATAATTAATAAGAAATATAATAGATAAATTATTAATCAAGATTATTTAACACTAATAATAAATTATTCAATAGGAATAAATTATATAATATAAATAATAAATTATATAATAAGTAATACTAAGATATTATAAAATATAAATGATTACATAATATGAAACAAAGACAAATCACATGATAAGAGAAAATTGATCAACTAAAATCATATTATAAAGTATAAACCACATGATATAAAATAAAAATAAATTATATGATATAATATAATACAAGAAATTAATGAATCATAAAATCTAAAAAAATAAAACTCATTATTTTCTTAATAATAAATCATTATTACTTGATCTTCTCTCTACTATTTATTATTATTTTGAGTTGATATTACATTATTATTAAACATTTAAGCTTCTTAATAATATTTCTATAGCAAATTATAAAATATGTAATAGAATATATAAAGATATTATATAATTAAAGAAAAAAAGAAATATTTAAAAATAATAATAGAATATATAATAACCTTTTGAAATATTAAAAAGAATTAAGAATGATGATACATAATGGAAAATAGAAAAGAAATAGAAATTAAAACAAAAATAAAAATTGGAAATAAAAATTAATAAGAAATTAGAATTTGTAATAATAAGAAATGATTATAAAATCTAAAAAATAGATATAGGTAAGATTATTTATCTAAACTTATTTTAGATTTGACAAAATATCTAAACTTTAGTTTCGTTAATTTTTATTAAAATTTTGATATAGTTTTGTATTTTTATTTTGATATAATTTTACCTTTTTTAGAGTTTCACTAATTTTTTAATAAGATTTTATATAATTTCATTAATTTGATAAAAATGTAATGTTAGAAAAAAATAGTAAAACTATAATATAATAATAAGGAATAATGTAAAAAAATGAAATGAAAATAAAAAATTGAGAATAAATAGAAAATAAGAAAATAAAATGTGAATAAAAAATAATAATAATAGAAATGTGAATAAAAGATATTAATAATAGAAATGTGAATAAAAAATTATTAATAAAAAAAATGAAATATGAAATTTTAATAAAAGAAATAAGAAATTAGAAGACATTAAAAATTTATATAAATAAAAATAGACAATTTATCTTGTAAAATTAGACAATTTATAGTTTTGATATCAGAACTATATATTAACAAAGGCTTAATCATCAATGTTCTGATCACGAAGCTTAGTGAGAACTTTGTTCGTAAATAAGCGATAAGTCCTTCTGTATTGTACCCTTCCACATCTTCGACGCTAGGGATAGTAGTTGAAGTTGACATTTGATTTTAAAACAAATATTGTATGACAATGTGGGTCAACAATTGTACCAGTTTCAGAAAAAAGAAAAAAAAAGTGGGGATTTGGAAGTTTATATGAAATCTATTGTCTCACAAATCAGCCAGTCATATAGGGTAGCAAGCGAAATGTATGATGCTACAATCATCAGATAAGATCTGAGGCAATCTATATTAGGGAATGTTGCATCCAAATTTACTCTATAAAGTTCACCTTCAGCTCTGCATGCATAGAACTTCGTCAAAAGTGCAAAGAATTTCAATAGAACATAGCAAAGCAGAATGGTCATTGAAAAATTTACTATGTACAACATATGCCAACACGTAATATTTTGATGCTATTGTTGCATCTCCACTTTTGCTTTTCCAGAATGTTTCACAAATCGCATTACAGAGTTTCGTAAGCTCTTTAAGAGATCCTTATGGTATTTGGGTTTGAGCGCGGGCCAATGTTCTCAACAAGCAGGAATTCCTGGTCAACACGGTCATATTTGAAAGGATACCATCTGTTTTACGTACAGAAGAACAGGTACGGTAAACTAATTCGCGACGCCACTTTGATGAAGGAAATTCCTTTTTCATTCCTGTTCAAGAAAGTCTAGTTAGATTCGTAATCAATGTGGAATTTTTGCTTTTATTCTCTTTTTGATTTACCATCTGTTAATAAACAAACACGAAGCAAAACTTCAAAATCTCAAAATCAGGAGACACGATTGTTGATATATATGTTTTCTCATCCATTAATGAATCGAGTTTTTCTCCATGTCCAGCTCGCAATTGCATGAGTTTGATTCCGAGAACTCGCCTTACAAAGTTAAATTGCTCCAAATCCAATCTTTCTATTTCCGTTGTTGCTCGCAAATTTGATAATGTAGTCTCAATTTTGCGCTAAATGTTAAATTTAACAGTTAAAAAATTAATAAATCAAAGTTAAGCAAACATAAAAACAAACACAACCATTCCTTACTGTGTAACTTTCTTTGATCCACTTTTTTAGACAATCAAGATTAACATAAGGTAAAGGTGCGGATTTGGCAGCTGCTTTTAATTCGTTAAAAATTTTCTTATTTGTCAGGGAATTATCCAAGCTTAAGTTAATAATATTGGCTTCGACAAAACTGTTTAAAAAAATGGTGTTTTCATGTGAATAATTACTTTATAGTCAACTATAAAAATCATTATAATACCTTCTTCAAACTCTTCAATAGTAAAGGACACCTCTTCTTGAATGTCAGTTTCTAGTGGTTGTTGCACTTTTGCTTCTCGTTCAGCCATTAAGCGAAGTTCATTAGAACTCTAAAATTCGCAATGATCTTTAGAACACCAGTAAAGTTTTCCATTTAAGCATTAAACTGCCATATACTTTTATACCATTGGGAAATGCTCTAATTCTTTTTCATCCTCATCTTTTTCATAGCGTAACTTCTTTTGACGAGTATTATTAGACAACGAACCTGCTGGATCTCGCGTTACGTATAAAAAATATTGATCGATCGATCACCAGACCAAAAATCTGGGGTTCATAGAGATATATAAAAAGAAAATTTTATTCAGTAAAAAAAATTTTGTTTAAAGATTTATCAATTTAAAAATTTATTTTTAGACCATTGTTACAAACGTTTTCGTTCATTTATCACAAACTAAAGTTATGGTATATCAAGCTAGGTATTAAAGTAATTTTCTCAAAACGTAATTCTGTGTATATCTTTTGTCAGAAATATGGAAGATCTTTCTGGCTAGGTCACCTTTGGTTTACGATTCTGCCGATCATATTCCCACAGGAGCATCATAGCAAAGAATTAAGTAGTTAGTAAATATCGTGATTAGCATATCCTGATTCTTATTTGATTCCTTTTCCCATCAGGTCGACGAATTGACTTGAACATCAGGCAAACGAATTGATTGTCTGATGCCCCAATGGGACCAGCAATGGGTCGACGAATTGACTTGAATGGCAAAAAAAACGAGTTGATTCCTTGCCACGCTACTTTATATATTTCCAACAAAAAAAGTTTTTTTTTTTAACTTGCCTTTTTATATCTATCTTTAAGAAATTGTTCTTATCCTTCCTCTTCCCTTCCTCATGTTTGATAATATTCCCGATACTCCTCAGATATAAATCTATTAATCTATTTTAAATTGGAATGGCTCTTTATCGCTTTCATTCAAAAAATCAAAAAGGCTTCATTCCGAACACGTTCGTTTAAAATAATGTATAGAGACATTATATTGCCGGGTGAAAAATCAGTATACAACGAAAAATTCGACGTTTTAAAGTTTATGTTGATTTCCATAATAGGATAGATCACAGGTGTTTTATGGACCGATATGGGAGAAACTTTATTAATAATTTTTATTAGACTCTCATACAATTCACTTTTCTACACTAAATCTCCGAGATAAATTATCCCACACATCACTTGCTCATACATAGACTGTGTAAATATTTTCCATGCAAAAGAACTTCCTCGAGATTAAGTAATTTCGAATCTACAGTATAAATTCGGGAGGTTAGCAACGAGTAAAAAAATACAGTAATGCCAATATTTTTGATTCAAACTTACCGATACACTTAATCTTCATAAAATTCATATTCAAGAAATTTTATCAGCAGTACGATACTGCGCCAAACATTGTAAATTTTTCGCTGTGCCGTTGCATGTGACGAGATTCATGTGAATAATTTCACTGTTCCTATTATACACGTGATGATGGTCAAATATTTCTCAGCGAATATAAGACGATTTCTTTAGTAAATAGTTTCAGGTTTAACTTTAACAAATATATAAATGTATTTTAAAAAAAAAAAAATGTCAAAAAAAGATTATTAATTAAGAGCATAATTTGATTTTCAGAAGCTATTAGATTTAGTATTATTAATTACATTTAGAAAATATAAATTCGGCAATTTGGTCGATCATATCCTTTTTAAAAAATAATGAAGGGCAACGATTTAAAATGGGCCATCATCAGATGAATTTCAATTGTTTTAATATATTGAATTGACAGTAAAATCAACGGTTTCGTGATTCCCCAACCTGAAAAAATATGCGATAATCTTTTATTTTCCATCACATATGAGAACATATAAATATCGGTATCATTTGTATATAACGTTCTTTTTTCAAGTTTTTCATATGAGTCCGGGACTGTAACCTTATTTATAAAGTATTTTGGTGAATATTTACAAGGATCTCCAAAAAAAAAAAAAAAATCTTTTGTAACTAACCCTATAATACTATAGAACGTTCAAATATAGATTTCATAATCTAAATAATCATCGTGAAAGATAGAGGTATTAGTTACTACAATACCCATTGTCAATATTAACATGTTGCGGCTAAATTGGACTTCAATAAAAAAAAAACCATAAAGGGCATTATTCAATCGCAAACATCTAATAATATTTGGGGACTAATTAATAAACTTATACCTAAATATAAAATATTTCCGTTTTTCACTGTCACACATCACATCACACATAGGGTTACATAATAGTAATCATCCTATTCAGTAATAATTAATAAACGGCTATTACTATATCAAGAAATAAGAATCAGATAAAAAAAAAAAAAAATCTGATAGTCGATCTCTTAATCGCCTGATCGCTGTTACTTCAATTAGTTTGATTTGCAATTTATTCATGTTTAACACTCAGCAAATATTGTTCAAAAAAATATTTATATAAATTTTTTATTCTGTATTAAGTAAAATATATATTATAAAATAAGAAAAAGATTTTTTATATTATTTCTAACAACCAAAGTAAATTTTTTAAACATCAGTTTTCTGATCAGTATTATCATTTACATCCCTTGAAGAGAATTCTTCTGCTTTAGATTCTTTTCTACCACGGTACCAAAGATAACCAATAGCACCCAAAACTACAGTCCAATAAACAAAATAAGCAGCAGTAGTTCCTTGAGTAGCCTTATTACGCCATCCAAATACTACCTTCATTATAGCCCAAAATTCATTGGTGCTTGGATTACAACATTTTAAATGCCACACTACTTTTTCTTCTGTACCAGTTGCTTCTTGTAATTCATGTACTGAGGTAGAAAACATTCCTGCTGCAATGAATAATAATAAGACCGTTGAAAAAATAAAAAAGGCATTTAATGACATCTTATGAGATCCTTTGTAAATAATATATCCTATAAAGAATCCTGTCGCCATTCCGAGAATTACGGGAATTGGAAGACCAGACGCGGGTTTATCAAATCCAACCTATGGAGAAATATTTAATATTTTTATGTAAATAGATGCATGATGCGCGAAAATATCACCTAATTATTTGTTTGGTACTTACACCTGCGATGAACACGAGGGTTTCTAAAGATTCTCGACATACAGCGGTAAAAGGTAACAAGATCAATGCCCATTTGTTACCGTTTTTATGTTTATTTAGATATACTTCTGCTGCACTGGCAAGTTTTCCTTCCCATTTAGCTTTCCATTGTTGAACTCTCACCATACTTAATGCCATTATAGTGATCACGATAGAGGCGATGAGAGCAAAAGATCCCTCTATTTATTCATATTAATTCGTTAAGAAATAAAAACCTCATAGTTTTTCATGTTCTGTTACAATACATCGAAATCTTGAAATATTTACCCCAAGCGCCTTCATTTTCTTCCCATAAATTTCTTGCGACAGTATAAAAAACAGCAATAAATGCAACGGCGATGATAAGAGAAATAAGGAATCCTGCTCCTGTACCAATCCAAATTTGTTTTTTTAAATGTTTTCTTAATTCTTGATTTTCTGGAACTAATTTATCAATAAATCCAAGCAATACTGCTAAAATAATGGTAACTTCGAGTGTTTCTCTTAAGAGAATAAAATATGCTGGTACATCAAATAGGTAAACCATTTTTAATTATGTGAGAATTGGAATTTAAAAGAGTTTTTTTTTTTTTTTGCAAGGTTAGGTGTAAAAAAAAAAAAAATTATTAGTGAAAAATCCGCTATTTTTATATCTTATTTAAAATGTGATCTTTCCAACGGAATTATTTACTTGCAGATCTTCAACGGAAAAAGATGAGTTGAAGAAATTTCCATAATTGAATTTCATAATAAATGATATTTACATATGATACAAAGAAAACCGTTTTGACTCACACTCGGAAGAAACATTTCTCGAAAAAACTTGTTTCTACATTGCCTGATGTTAACGTAATCTTGTTATTTTGTTATACAAACCAAAAAAAAAAAATTAAACAATGTTCTTCTATCATCATGATTGATCATCAATCAATCTCCAATTTTTTTCTTTCTTATTTTTTTTTTTTTTTTATAAAAAGCAACAAAATCACTTCAAAATTAGACAAAGAAATTCTTTATTTCATTTGACGATCTACAAAGGGACGGAATAAACTTATTAATTTTGTAGTTTAAGGAGCGAAAATTTTTTGTAAAAAAAAATTGATTGTGACTGAAGACTTTTGATTTGTCCATAAAATTACGCAATGAAAAAAATTTATTTACTCGTACAAGGTTACAGTTTATGTACAATTGTCAACAAACTACAATCAAATAAAAACTTTATTAACTTTTAGTTATTCTCTGTTACTAAATTCTCGTGTCAATTTATCACGAGGTGATTTGGTAATAAATATTCGATTTTGCGTTAACTGACATGCGAGATGACTAATGCTGGTCAAACTTTCTTAAGGCATTATAAGATCGAGCCAAAATAGGCCCATAATTTAGGCCAGTCAACATCAGACACAAATCGTCATCTGAGGCAAACATATATACAGTATCTCATTTTTTATGAAGCTTTATTAATAATTTAATTTGTGAGTTAAAATTAAGCATTTTTATTATATATAAAAAACATCAGATTTTTTAATTAATAAATTTTAAAATAAAAGTAGATTCTTGTTTTTAATATTTTATGCATTAACAAATTCTTAAAAAAATTTGAATTTATTATTATTTTAATTAGGTTTAATTATTTATATAATTATTATAACATAGGTAAAAAGATAAAATTCATTTTGTATTATATATAGCTACATAGATATTTATTAATTATCCTATTCCTAAAATTCTTGGTAATTTTAAGAGAGTTTTTTTCCAGATTTTTTTAATTATCAAAATAATTTTCAGATATACATATATCCAGTATACATTTTTTAAAATTTAGAAGTTTTGCATCATATTACTTACTGTTTAACTAATATGAGTTTTTATAAACTATCTAACTAAACTCTAACAATATGAGTGTTAGGTAGGATGATTCAGTTATTAATTAAGATGAATTTATAATATTAATAATGTAAATAATTAATTCAGAGCGTTAATGAAAGACTATATATGTTTTATGTGCTTTGATGTTTTGATATTCACCTACTCAAATTTTAAGTCAATACATGGTTAGTCTTTTTTGTTACACTTGTGCTTTGGATTTAACAATAGTTTCTAAAACTATTATCTAGTAAATATGACAAATAAATTAATAAAATTAATATCAATAAATAAGGAAAAACAAAAAATAATAATGAGAATATAGATATAATTATACTGAAAAAATAAATAATATAAATAATAATATTGAATATAAAAAAAATCAAAATATGATAAAAATGAATCTAAAAATAAAGGAAAAAATATTTATTATTAGAAAAAATTATATAATTACTAAAGAATGAGATATTTTAATAATAAAAATAAATTTATATATTGAAAGTAGATTTTTAAATAAATAAAAATTAATTTATAAAATAAAACCTTTTAATAGTAAATAGTAAAAACCATTAAGCAATTATAATCATATAATAAAGTAATGTCTAATCCAAATTTTAAAATAAAATATATAAATAATAGAAAATTTCAAACTATAAATAATATTTTACTTTAATAATTATTCCTAAATTTTATATAATTTTAAAATCAGTTAGTTATATATTTTTAAAAAAAAATTTTAATTTGTAAAAATTTTAAATGCATAAACTATTTTAATTGTAATATATAAAAAATATTTTATATATATTTAAGATTTAAAAAAATTCATATATAAAAAAATAGACAATTTTGAATTACATATAAATTTATATTTTTTTAATAATTATTTCTAAATTTTACATAATTTTATAGCTAATTAGTCATAATTTTAAAAAAAAAATAATATTTAATTTTTGAAAATTTAAAATATAAGAATTATTTTAATTGTAAGATTCAGAAAATAAATTTTATATATAAATTACTATAAAATTTAAATTGGATATCACTTTATAATATGACAGTGTAGCTTTTATTGAAATTAATAAACTCAAAATATTATATATTTAAAAAATATGAATTTTAACAATTATAGCATCAATACTAATACTAATACTATTTAATACTAATGCTAATTCTAATATTAATATCAAAGTTAATATTATTATTAATACTAATGCTTGTATTTAATATTAATGCTAATTTTAATATCAATGTTAATATTAATGTTAATTTTAATGTCAATACTAAATACAGTATTAATGATAAAGCTAGTATTAATATCAGAATCAGTATCAATATCAAATTAATGTTAATATTAATATCAAAATTAAGATTAATATTAAAGCTAAAGTCAGTGCTAATACTAGTATAACTGTTAATATAATCACTACTAATACTAATATTAATTAATACTAATATCACAATAAATATAAAATAAATTTTTTAATAAAAAAAATAAGACTTTTAAAGAATTATTTAAGTAACTTTTAAATTTTTATTTTAATATATAATAAAAATTGTTAAATTTAATTTTATATTAATTAATATTAAAACATAAAAAAAAATAAAAGTTAATAAAGCTAGTAAAATTAGTATTACCTTTAGTATTACCTTAATTTTATTAAAAATTTAATTTATCTTATAATAAAAATTTAGATAAATCTAAAATTTTTATTAATTTATAGTATAAATAATAATTTTTATAATAATTTTATATTAAAGAAAAAAAATAAAGATTCAAGTAATAAAAATAATAATAAAATTAAAAAAAATAAAAAATTTATCTAATTTTTTTTTTTTATAAATGTTTATAAAACTTATTTTATATATTAATTTTTTTAATTTTTTAATTTTTTTATTATATTAATAAAATTTAAATTGCTTAATAACTATATTATTCATCTATTAACAAATTATAAAATATATATTTTTATTTATATTTTTGTATATATTATTTTTTATTTTTTTATATTAGTATAAGGTTTTATTTAAGTAAAATATATATATAATATATTATATTGAAATTTCATAAAAATTATATTATAAAACTTAATGTTTTTATAAATTTTTATATAAAAATTTTTATTAAACATGTTAATTTACAGAATATTACTTTATTTTGCAAAATTAATATTACTATTTTTTTATGATTTACTTATTAGTTGCTTTGTTTTACTATATAATATTATTAATCCTATTTGCTTTTATGATTTATTTACTAATTGCTTTGCTTTACTTTACAATATTTTATCTTATTTTCTTTTATATTTGCTTACTAATTGTTTTACTTTACTTTGTAAATTTAATATCTCTATAATTTAATTACTAGTTGTTTTATTTAGCTCTGCAACATTGATATCTTTATTTATTTTCATAATTTATTTATTAGTTACTCTACTTTATTTTTACAATATTAATATTTTTATTTGCTTTTATAAAATTAGAACTTTTGATACTTAAGATGATAATTAAAATATGTGAAAATTTTTTTTATATTATAAAATTAGAAAATATTCTTAATATTTAAAAATACTTTTTAGAATTTTAAAACATAATATTCTTATTTTATATTAAAAAGATAATAAACTTTTATATTATATAAAAATCAATATTGAATATATTTTAAAACATATTATACTTATTTTATATTAAATACCTATTTTTTATTTTTGTATTTTATATTTTTTTTTTAAATAATATTATAAATTCATATTTTACAAAAACTTGTTAAATAATTTTTAATTTTACTATATTATTAATATTTATAAATATAATAATATAAAGAAATTGTTATATATTTTACTATAAAAAGAAGTTATTATTTTTATTATTATTTTTAAAATTATTATTGAATAGTTATAAAAGATATAGTAATTATAATTATTAATAAATATAAATAATACAACTTATTTTAAATAAATATTAAGATATTTTATTTTTTTACTTATTTAATTGATTATCATAATTTTTATTATAATACATTATTATAATGATTTAAAAACAATGTTTTATTTATAATTTCAGTTAATTGATCTTATACTGTCTTTATTATTATAATATTTAAATTAGATATTAAAGTTAAAGATTGCATTCAATTTTCAGATTATTTATTTATTTAATGTTTTATTACTTTTATTTTTGGTAAAATTAATTTAATATTATTTAACAAATAATAATATCTATTTTAATATATTTATAAATATTTGTTTTATTATTAAATAGAATATAATATATTTATAATATTGTTTAATATATATAAATATATTAAAATTATATTAAAGTAATAATTTAATAATAATAATCTTAATATAAGAATTAGCTATTTATTTTTTTTTTTTTTTTAAGAGATAATCATAAATCGTTAATTATTTGATTATTATCAATTAATACGATTTGTTATTTTTTATAATTATTTTAACCTTTTGACTTTTTATCTTTATTGATTTTAGAAAAACCTTTTAATTTACAATAATAATAAAATTATACACATTAAAATTATTAAGGGAGACTTAAGATAAAAGGTTTAGATCAAAGATATTTGTATATTACCACTATTACCACTACCTATATATATATATTATATATAATCCAAAATGTGTGACGTCTTTAATAAACACACTAATAATAATAAATTGAAAAGATTTGTTTAGCTTCCATGTCTCGTTCCGATTTGATACAAAACTTTCTTTTTTAGTTTCTTTTTTTTCTTGTTTACTTCTTTTGTACTTTCACTATATGAAGAATCATCTTCACTATCATTTTCATTTTGATTATTGTCAGATACTGTAGATGCAAATGCTCCACCTTGTCCCCATGCATTTTTTTCTTGCCCATCATTTTTGGATCTAGAAGATCTTGGAGTCGATGTTAAGTTAGGAAATCCACTATTTTCAGCTTGAGTAGGTTTACCTTTAACAAAAGCCGTAGTACATGAAGAAGTAGATCCATTAGGTGAAGGTGATTGAACAAATTGCGGTTCAGATCCATTATTATTATTAGCAGAATTACTAGAAGCTGTTGTGAGTGAAGGAAATGCTGAATTCTTTCTTTCCTTGTTTTTTGATTCAGCAATAGCAGCTATTTGATCCCAGACAGGAGTGCCACTATTTGTTTTTTTACCACGAAATCGGGTAGTTGAAGATTTAATAACTAATACACGAGGCGACGGTTTATTCGAAGAGGGTGAAGAGGGTGATCTCGAATTACTAATCACACCAGGTGTGGGTGAGGATACCGGTTCTAAAGCGGGGAATTCAGAAGTTCGCTGCAATATAAAATAGTAAAGTTAATGTAAATGTAATCGTTATTTAACAATTGAAAATTTATGTAACTCACAAATGCTTACCTTAGCTTTATGATCTTGCAATGCTCTCAACAATTCAGTCCTCTTTTTCTCCTCTTCTATTATTTCTACCAAACCATTCACAACTTTACCAACGGTACCTGTATTTTTATTAAACAAAGGCAACAAAAATTCTATATACGAAGATGCATCAAAAGTTGAATTATTGTATGCTGCAGTCAATGATTTAAATTCATCCATCTTAGCGGGATTATTGGATAGGAACGTATTAACACGTTGATAAAAACCAACATCACGACTAAAAAAAAAAAAATAATAATTAAACAATTAGGAACCTGCCCAAAGTAATACTTTGATGAAAAGGAAAAGAAGAAATACCTCAAAGGTTCCGAATCAATAACACTAGAGAAAGCCTTTAACCTGGTATTACTACTAATACTATTTGTTGATGCCGAAGTTGAAGTTGATTGATTCGCGGAAGGTAAAGGAGGAAAGGCAGGAGCTCTTCCTTTATTAGTAATATTGGATTCGGATAATGGTGCTTGAGGGGAGTTAGGGAAGAATGAACTCCTATTACTACTACTACTATTACTACTACTAACACCCGGATATAGCGGAGGTGTAGGTGTAGGCGTAGGTGATAATTTCGTAGGCGTAGATTTATTACTAGGCTTTTTCTTATTAGCTTTTGTTTTGGCAGCATAATTTATATTTGTACCTGAGCCATTATTAGTAGCAACCCTCATTGAAGCGTTCAAAGCAGGGAAGTCTTCTTCCCGTGGTGTAGAGAGCATATTACGTATTTCTAATTCATTTTCTGATGGTAATTCATTCTCTGGTCCAGTCACTTCGTCAGGAGACAAAACACCAAAACCTGGTGGTGGTCTCGCTGCTCTTGCATTAAAGTTCATTTCATTGGCATTGCTAGAAGTGGTATCTAAATTAAGATTCTGCGTTTGACGTGCAGTTTCATCAATGTCGGCACTTATAAAAGTGCCCCCACCGTCGCCACCACCACCACCACCACCACCACCACCAGCAATCCGTCTATCTGACTAAATATTTAAAAAAAATTTAGACACTTTGACTAATTTCAAATAAAATATTTAACCCAAAAAAAGTACAAAATTTAATTATATTTTTTAAAAATTTTTTCTTGCACTTGATTATCTCGTGTTAAAATGATGGGGTGAATTGTTTTGATATTCTTACCTGTCTTTCACGACTTCTCCGATGTCTCCTCTCGCGTGAATCTGTATAGTTAATGTCAATCGCAATTGTCCTTGCCTCACGTCTAGCTCTTTGTCCACTGAAATTAGACTCATGAACTTCAACCTGTTTGAACATTCATGATATTTATTTAAAATATAATTCGCTACATTCCTTTCCTTAAAAAGAAAAATAAAGTTAAACTTACATCATGAGCTTTGAAGTCAATTTCTGATTCAAACACGACAAATTTTTTCTCCAAGCATTTTTGGTTTGGACAAAGATAGTGTTCCATATTGAAATGATTTTCCTAAATATTAAAAAGGAAAGGAATTATGTATAAAATAAAATTAATAAAATAAAATGATCATTTATTATACATACCAATGAATTATAATCAACATAATAAATATGTCTTATACCATTTTTAACACAAATAAAACATTGTTCATGAGAATGACGACAATGATCGTAGAGTTCGTCATCGCCATAAAAGAGTGTTTCACAAAATTGACATTCAGGATGTCCACTGAAACCCGTTTCTTCATCACCATCACGACAATGCTTATCAAGTTCATTGGAGGTGAAAAGAGTATGTTCATGTGCGAAGATTTTTTTATTATGAGTGCAAATATCACTAATAATTAAGAATTTATATTTAATGATAAGTTCAACTTGAAACACTTTCTAATAATACATCTTACCATAACTTTAAACGATGATCTTTTCTAACGTGTCGCCTCAATTCTCCCCATCCATCACAAGACATTTCACAATCTTTATCTGGACAATTAAATTTCAGAATGAGCATTATATCATCAAACATTTCTTGATCCTCACAATAAATATTTAATCTTTTGTCAAAGAAGGGAATATCTTCATCCTGGAATTCTTGGAATTTTTTATCGGGATTTCGGGTAAATATAACCTTAATTCGTTCTGTCTGGATATATTAGGATCAAATTTAGAGTTCTAGTTAATCATGATTATATTTTGATTAGCATCAAATAATAATTACCTTACAGTAAGCGCAATCTTTAGATTTATATAGTGCTCTTAACCTCAACGAACACACATGACAAGATTTATGGTTACATTCCGGAACGGCATAATATTGAACGGGTTCAGCGCAGATAAAACAATCGTTTTCATTTTGAGAACCTTGATCCCCGTCCGAATTATGATTAACAACGATTGGTGCAACTATTTGGCTTTGACTAGCAATATTTATAGTTTGTTCTCGAGGAGTAGAGTGCCTATTTGGGCGGTAACCTCGATGTCTACGATAGTTGTTGTGGCGACGATTTCCCCTATTGAAATGCTCAGGACTAGTAATTGGAAAGGCTTGGGAAGCGTTGGACATTATAATTATTAAAAAGTTTGTTGTAGATTAATGTTTTGTGAATCGTAGTAAACTTGAAAGAGTTTATTTCAATAAATGTTCGGATAAACTGTGTTTTTAAAAAAAAATGGATGATGACCATATTACTAATCACTGCGGCTGCGGCATTCAAGACAAGTTTCGAAGTTGCAAATGAATTCTTTAGAATTTGAATCAAAGACGACAACTGTTCCAGAAGAAACTGGTAAAAAAGAATATTGGATATTCGGATATGGTTCTCTAGTTTGGAAACCGCCACCAGTATACAATAAAAAGTTAATATTTTGTATATTTATATTTGAAATCTTATTTCACGAGATTTGGGAGAGTCAAAACTAAAAATATGTAATACTTTAGATTACCAGGATATATTAAAGGACATGTTCGGAGGTTTTGGCAGGCATGTACTTTCTATCAAAATAGAGTTTATTGGCACCTTAAATTTAACGATCCGAATATTTCGTGATATTATTCTTCAGCGAAGTACAGACCATCGAGGAACTATAGAAAAACCAGGTCGAGTTGTTACATTGATCCCTATTGAAGAGTGGAAATTACTTGACGATTTTGTAAGCCAAGTCTTTTTTTTTTTCTTTTTAAAACAAAAATTATATGATAACAATATCGATTAATTCAATTTGATTCTCTAGCATGATCATAAAGAAGACGATGTTACATGGGGTATTGTCTATAAAATCAGCGAGGAAGACATTAAGGAGATGATGGATTATTTGGATTATCGAGAGAAGGTTCAAATATTTAGAAATTGATTTATTTGAAACAAGTTTACATATGAATTTTTTATTTTATTTTATTTGTAGAATGGATACACCATACATTATTTGGATGTGTATCAGCTTGGAAGTGGAGAACCCATTGTAAAGAATGTAAGTCTTTATCCGTTCTTTTCAACTGATCGTAAGGAGTCAAAAATCAACTTCTTTATATTAGGCGATGGTATATATTGGTACAACCAAGAATGAAGAATACGTCGGACCAGCTCCTCTGAATTCCTTGGCTCAACAAATATATGAATGTACTGGAAAGTAATTTATTGATAACTTTATAGTTCAATGAATAATTATTATTATACTGTATGTCGCGAACTAATCTAATTCTCATTTTCTCTCAATAGGTCCTAGCGGTTCCAATCGAGAATATTTACTTAAACTTGCATCTGCGCTTAGAGAAATAGCACCAGACGCATATGATGGTCACCTATTTGATCTAGAAGAAAGAGTCAAAAGCATGATCAAACGTTCAGAAATATTATAGATTTTATATTTAAAAGTTTGTTCTTAATTATAATACGTTCAAATAAAGGTTCAAACATTATAGTTGTGACGGAAAAGAGTGACCTCGCCCTGTTTTATTAAAAATTATGAGATTGATACATCCCACTCCCTTGCCATAAAATCTCCCGAATAACACTAATCATAACATTATCTTTTCAACATTTGTCGAAGATCCAGAGTCAACCAACAATTTATAACGTTCATGAGAGCGATCGTCTCATTGTCTTGATGGAGAACCCGAATGCTTGTTCAAATTTTTTGAATGAACTTGTGCAAGCCGATGGTTCAAAACATCCTCACGCGTGAACTTTAAAAGATACGTTTTGGTTTTATATCCAAGCTTTTTCTTAACCGTTCGGGCTGCAATATTAAGACATGGGTATGTTCTTGGGTATGTTCTTAAGCATTTCAGAAGGTATGCTTTAAATCTTTTGTTCAAGATGTTTGATCAACCCATCTATATAGAGTAACCCAGTCGTATCTTTAAGTGTGAGGAGACGGCGATCTCAGATTTAATTGATCGATCCCTTTAATATGATGGAACCATTTTGATGAATCTAACAATGTAGGGAAAATGAAAATGAAAATGAAAAGAGAGAACATTCCCATGCCCTATCTTGATTAGCATAAATTAAGAATAAAGAGTATTTAAATAATCACAGCATGGTGTGAAAATCAAGAAAATCTAAAATCTTAAAAGTAATTTCGAATGAAAAGTCAGATATTGCAAAAAAAAAAAGATGAGTGACGTCATGTATAATTTATTTTATTTTTTATGATAGTATCTTTTATTATGATTATGCTTGTTATTCTTTAATAAAATAAAATCTATTTCCCGCCATTTTGTGAAATAAATTGATTTCAATTAAAAGAAAATACAATAATACAGAATGGTCAAATTTTTAATTAACCGTCAATTTCCCGTCCTAAATAGCAATGAAGATTATTTCTTATGGAAGATCAATTAACACTTTTAGTATACGTTGAAAAAAAAAAATCTAAGTGATAAAGTATAAAATAAGATGCAGAAATTTTTGTTTTAGCCTAAATTTCTTCGACGAAGATTTTTTTTTTTTTAATTAATTGATTTTAAAAGAATAAATAAAATTAAAAATTAAAATGATTCTCGAACATTTTGAAATCAAAATTATATATAGTAACATTTATTAATCGATGACGATAAATTCGGTGTTGTATTATTATAAAAAATTAAATGAACTTTTTTTGGGGGGAGAGGGAATGTTTTGAGAAAACAAATTTCTTCTATATTTCAACCTTAATCGTAAATTTAGATATGATGATCACAGAAAACTATTTTCAATAATAGATTTTTTATGATTTACATCCTAAATCCCGAAATTATATTTGAATTCTTGGAATAAAATTCATTAAAAAATATAATTAGTTTATGTTATTGACAGAAACAAAAAAAAAAATTAAAACAGAAATAATTGTGAGATTGTCCAAAACAAATAATAATAAAATAAAAAGGAGAAAATTAAGAAATCGGAAGTCCCATTACAAATTTTTATCGAATTTTTCGTTATTGCGAATGTTTGATGTAGATACTGAAGAATCTGTAGATGTTATTTTGATAGGGAATAGGTTTCGTTAAAAAAAAAAGAAGGAAAGAATTTTTTATATTATTTCTCCACTCGCACTAATCCAGATCCATTTATGGAAGTATAACCGTTTCCGTTAACATCAACATTACCATTAGCAGTATAATCAAAACCATATCCATCATCTTCTTTCTCTTCATTATTTTTTGAAAGTGTTTGCGTGGGTAATTTATTAACATCCATATATTCTTTTTTTGGTGGATCAGGTTTACTATACATATATGTAGCAATTAAAACGAGTGTGGCCCCAAGCAAAAATGTTGTGGTGACGATGAATTCAAAGAGGTAAACGGAAGCGAGGAAACTAAGAATAATTGAAATGGATGTGGCAAATCCTTTAAGAATGTTATCCGCATATTTGACTACCATAGCGACGATAATACCACCGATAGCTTGACATGAAATCGCTGCCAAAACCACGTAATTGTAATTATAAAAGAATCCATTTTCCCAAACTCCTGCTCCATCTTTCCACCAAACCCCCATGATTAAAGCGGGGAAGAGTGAAAAGAATGAAAGTTGAACATTTCGAATCCAAACGGATGTCTTGCTACCTTTGAGAACTTTTTCGAAATATACACCAGCGATACCAGAAATTACGCAGGCTACGGCTACAGCTCCTAAACCCACAAATCTTTCCATGCTAGCATCATCATCAACAATTGTTTTACTTCCAGAAGAATCACTTGGCATTTGAACAAGTGCAACACCAAAAGTGAGTAAAACTAATGAAGACCATTTTAATCCACTTAAAGAAGTTCGGAGCATAATTACTGAACATAAAGCGGTTGTGAGAATTTTCAACTGATAAGTGACCTGAAACGTTGCCGCGTCAAGCATGCTTACGGCGACATACTGCAAATTATTTTGAACCGTGTAGAGAGCTGCCGGGATCATTAATTTCCATGCGTCGGGAGCAAACACTTGAGTGTAAAGTTCTGAAATACTCAACCGTCCAGTCTCACGTATTTGATTTCGTCCGGCCATATAAAGACAAATAATGAGCTTGGTAAACTCGGATAGAAATACGGCCGTTGATGTATAATATAAATGCTCCTTATCAAGTCGAGAATACCTCATTATTATTACTAAAGTACTATTTTGAATACATAGTGTGACTAAACTGACATATTTCAAAGGTATACCTAACATCGTTGCACTTAATGCCATTATTAAAGATTTTTTTTTTTTTTTTTTTACAAGAAAACTCGAGATGAACGAGGGGTAAAGGGTTAAAAGGTCAAAGAGTAAAAAAAAATTGTTCTCTTTTTGATAAGTTTTGGAAAACTTTAACAAAGGTTAGAACGTGTGTAACTTCGATTAGTACAACTTGTGCGTGTTCATTTAAATCCCTTTTTGAGTTAAAAATAAACTTTTTTTTTCAATCCCCTAAACCCTAACTTTATTAAATAAATCGGAACGAGCGAAATTTATATGGAGCTGATTTGCATGAAATATTACAATCATAAATTTGTTTTTTTTTGTTTTTTTCATTTTACAATTCCCCCAATGTCAAAAATAGAAAATTAAAACTATATATAGGAGTTGATTTTTTGATTGTTCAATGATAAATTCGGAGCCAACGGGTAGATAAGGGCAACATTATTCTACGTGATAAGATGTTTGATTTTTTGATCAATAAAAGTAAAAGGATAAAAGAATTTACCTGATGGGTATGTTTTATTTCCTAAATATATGATACATTTGATGATCGAGATTTCATTGGCAAAGGTACTTGATGTTAATTTCTTTATTTTGCTCGATTTGGAAGGTAGCACAAAGTTTTGTCGAACTTTCCTTTGTTGGCTCCGTTGTGATTTTTTCTCTATACTCGTCTTTTTTTTTTAAAACATATCTCAATTATCTCAAAATATGACTCATGAAAGAATTGAAAAAAATGGATCGATTGCCAATACATTAAGGGCTTCAAAGAATCCTCCACTTCCTCCACTTCCAGGTAAACCCTTTACCATTTCGATCGTTGGTGCTGGTCAAAGGTAAATTGTTTCCAATTATCGTATATTATGCGCGTGATACATTACCAATTTCAATTGTGTTTCAGAGGTGCTGGATACGCGTTTTATGCTGTATCGGAACCGCGATTGGCCAAAGTTGTTGCCGTTGCTGAACCGGTTGAAATTCGTAGAAAAAACATGCAAAAGGTTGAATTGAACTTGTATTACTTTTAGAAATTTTATATTTTATTGCATTTGAGTTTTTGATATAAGATAAAATGTATCTGTATATAATAATGGATATTTTATAAATCGAAAAGACTAAGCCTCTCTGAAACGTTCATGAATCTTTAATTTTCAATTATTAGACATATAATATTCCTGACGAGAATTCATTTAGCGATTGGCGAGAAGTGTGTGATTTTTTTTTTTTCATTTTCAAAGAAAATACGTTCGGATTCATTGAAATCTTTGAATTATTAGCTCGCAAAACGACCTAAACTAAGTGATGCGGTGGTAATTGCAACCTTGGATCATTCTCATACAGAACCTGCAGTTGTATTTACAGATCTGAAGTATCATATTTTATTAGAAAAACCTATGGCTGGAAATCTCGTAGATTGCAAAAAAATTTTTGATGCAGCCATTAGAAATCAAGTACTTTATTAATAGTATTAATGAAATTTAATAACCAATTAGTAAAAAATTTACGAGATTTTGAAATTTAATTAGGTCGTGTTTGCTATAGGTTTGTGCTTTTTTCATATGCAATTTTCTTAAAATAAATCCGATTCAACCCTCAAACTCTATCATTCATGTTAGGTCACGTGCTAAGATACACTCCACATAATCTCCTTATTAAAAAGATTATCGATTCAGGTTTATTGGGAAATGTCATTAACATTCAACACATAGAGCCTGTGGGAAATTGGCACTTTGCTCATTCGGTAAGGAAATATCACTGAAAGGACAGTACCTTTTTTGACGTGCGTGACGCATCATTTTAAAAGAATTTTTTTTTTTTTTGATTTTCAAAGTATGTAAGAGGCAATTGGAGAAAAGAACAAGATTCTTGTTTCTCTCTTATGACCAAGGTGCGTTTTTTCAAAATTAATCACAATATTGCCCGCAATTAACATTTACTTGATAATTTGTTAGTGTTGCCACGATATTGGTAAGCAAAGAATTTCAGATCCATATATTATTTTAAAATTGAATTAATTCACATTAAATTATAGATTTGATGGCGCATTGGAATGATTCTCCTTGTGTGGTACTTAATATTTTAATACATTTGCATTCGAGACCAAATTGCTACATTATATTATAGAATTATATAAGGATCACCTTTATTATAGAAAATTAGTTCATTTGGGAATTTATCACACTTTACTTCAAAGAATAAACCTACTGAAGCTGGGGAAGCAAAGTATGTCGCGTAATTCCTTTTTTTTTTTTATTTATAAAAAAAATTAAATCATTTTATGTAGACGATGTTTGGAATGTGCATATGAGCCTTCATGTGCATATTCCGCAAAGAAAATTTATATCAAATCACTGAAGAATGGAAATCGGGACTGGCCTGTTAATGTGGTTACGGATGTTGTTGGTATAATGAAACTTTTCTAAAAATAACGACGTGTTGCAAGCGTTTATGCTAAATTATGAATTCACCCGCATTTAGATATTGAACATTTGGTTGAAGCATTAAAGACTGGACCATATGGTCGATGTGTTTATGAATGTGATAATGATGTTGCGGATCATCAGGTGCGTGACGTTACCGTGTGAAACAAAAATATTCAATTAGCTTTGTTTTAAATATCATATTTTTTTTTCATATGATAGGTGGTTAATATGGAATTTGCAAGTGGTGCTACAGCATCTGTTACAATGGTTGCTTTTACTGAATCTATATGTACAAGAAAGGTAAGAACTTCTAAAATTGACATATTTAATCTTCTTTTTCAGTTTTTTATTAAAAAAAAAAATGTATATATTTATTTATTTATTTATAAAAAGACTAGGTAATAAATTCTATTAGAAAAATGTTTTTTATTCTAGACATAAATGAATTTATCAATTTTACAATCTATTCAATCAAAGAATTTTTGGATCTCTTGGAGAGTTGGAATGTGATGGTCTGAACAATATAAGTTATTATAGTTTTCAAACAAAAAAAAAAGAACTTTTACAAGCAACAGATATCATTGGTGGAAGTATTTCGGGCGGTCATGGTAATTTTAACATTGTTTTCTTATAATTTAAAATATTAAGGAGATTAAATGTTATGATCAATTATTAGGTGGAGGTGATTTTGGATTAATGCGATCATTTCTTTATGAGATTGCATCGAAAGATCAATCTATCAAATATTTGTCGGGGGCTGAAGAATCATTAGGTAGGTTTAATGAACCAGAAAAAAATATTAATACATAAAAAATATTTCCATTGTGTAATTCTTTCTGTTTTCAACTAACCTTTATTAAACATTGTTAATTCATAAACAGATTCACATATTTATGTATTTGCCGCGGAACATTCGAAAAGATCCGGAAACGTTGTTAACATTGAACAATTTAAACATGAAAATGGAATTGAAATTGTCAACAATTAAGTAAATCAAGATGTATCAATAAATTCATCATTGATTTTATTTAATGTATAATTATTAATATTAATTTTTTTTTTTTTTTCAAAAATAAAGAAGACTACCGAAATAATTTTAAAAACAAATCCAATTAAAATGGTAATATGATTGTTCAATAATTCGAATATTAGTATTATGCGATTATATATAAAATTTTCCCTTGATTTCTTTGATTTAAAATAATAATATTACATGAGATATAAATTAAATTCTTTAAATATAAATATAAATAAATATAAATATATATATATATATTTTTTGCTAGAAATTAATGATAATCGATCCTTATTTACACTGGTAATTTTGATCCTGCCAGCTTATCAACGACCTACAAAGGGAAAATGATTTTGATTAATAAAAGATGATTATTAAGAAAATGATTATGAAGATTGAGCATACGTTTGAAATATATGGTGCACAGAGTATAGTTCCTATGATCGGTAGCTGTCTTGAAAACCTTATAATCACCGGGAAGAAATCCCTGTAATTAAAGAAAATGAAAAAATTTAAATGAAAACTACAATTGGATGAATCAATGTATATAAGTTTCGTACCCAAATAAATTTAAGAATCCAAAAAATTCAACAATCATTCCCAAAAATGGCATTTTAACGAAAACCAACAATATTATCCCACCAAAGAAGAAGATTGTTCCTCGAATTTTATCTTTACGAGCAAAAAAAAATATAATTGTTTTCTTAAATCCAATAATTAACGTTATACCTGAAAGAAATAATATCTAAAAATTGTAAGGAAATTAAACGTTAAAGTCAAATACATGACGAAAATTTGATTAAAATCGTGATAAATCGTTGTAAACTTACATTTCCTATGGCTAATAATCCACCATCAAAGAATAACAGAATACCAAGTACCATCATAATTATACCAAATGCTGTTAGCCCAACCCCAATCTCTAAAATTCGAATAATGTTAGTGAAAATATTTAACGATTTCAGTCCTACAGCAAAAAAAAAAAGAAAAGGAAATAAGATAAAACATACTCTGAGTATCTGATAACCACATGGTTTATTAGAAATAAGTGTAAAGAGTAAGAAAGCGTTGTATAATTTAAATTCAATTTTTCAAACTTTTGAGTTTTTCCGAAACGTGTCCATTTTAAATTGGCTGAAAAATCTTCTTGATTTAGTAACGATCTTTGACACTTAGAACAGTTAGTACAGTTGTACAAATCTCGCGTGTCAACAAAAGTGGATGACCCTTATTTAAACCTCGATACTTTATTGTTTTTCTAGAAACCTTTGAACTCCTTTCATAAACCATGTATTCATTTGCCAGCAAAATCTATAAAAGTGTAATCGGAAATTTTGAGGAACAAACATCCGAAGAGGATGAAAATTCCAAAGACCAAACCTCTTCAAGCGAGCAAGCGAGTGTAAAAGTTTCAGAAACTTCAAATAATCACAAAGAATTTGCGGTTCCAGCCCCTGTACCAAAAATGCAAGTTTCAAATTTTAACGGTATGTAAAAACTTTTTGAACTTTAGTCACAACACAGAATTTCTCATGAATTTTTTTTTTTTTTTTTATCTTAACTATAGGCACAACATTGGATGATGTTGCAGAATTCCCAAGCAATGACAGTCCACAACGTGCCAAAAAACGTACACCACTCGAGAAAGCTAATAAACTACGACAAAAAATAGCTCTAGAACCCGGTCATTCTCCTTTAGATTGGGCAAATTTGACTAATAGTGGAGCTAACCTTCGAGTAGGTCAACGAATTTTATTTACAAACATGACCTCCTATGTCGGACAGAACTTATTAATATTTTTTGTTAACAGGGAGTTTCGGAAATTAAAAAGTATACAATCGACGAAGTCAATCATCATAAAACTAAAGATGATGCATGGACGGTCTTTAATGGCAAAATTTATAACATTACTCCATATATCAAATTTCATCCTGGAGGTAAGTAGATAAGAATATTTATGATATGTTTATAAAAATTATTATTATTATTATTATTATTGTTATTATTATTATTAAAAATGAAATAATTATTATGTTCATTTCAAAAGGTGAAAAAGAGTTAATGAGATCAGCTGGTAAAGATGGGACTAAATTATTTAGTAAGTTAAATTATTATATTATATATTTATTTATTTATTTTTTTCCAAATTTTCATTTTCTTCATTTCCTTTAGTGTCAACACATTCATGGATAAATTACGAATTCATGCTGGAAAAATGTTTTGTCGGTTTTTTAGCAGGAGAGCAGCGTAATTTATTAATCTAAATACATTGAACATTCATAATGAACATTTTAATTTAATTAAATCATTGCAAATTTGACGCTCCAAAAGTTCATAATTTTCCTTGTTCCCGTAATTCTTGTTTCTCCTTATCGCTAAGTGTCCAGAATTCATTAATTTTACGATGATACCAATTTCGTACCTAAAATGTTCAGGAGATTAAATGAATTTCAAACAGATGTATTGAAAGTGTTAAATGAAACTTACAGGCACAAAACAATGATGATCTTGTTTAAAGTCGGCATATAACACGATATATGCTCCAGCGGCTAATACAAAACAAAGCATTTTAACATTTAAATAATAGTTCATGGTTCGAAAAACCAATTAACTTACCTACGGTTACAACTATACTACCAACATGATAAGATCTTGAAAAAGGTGATAAATATTTTGCTAAACCTAAATTTTGTACTCTTCTTTGATACTTTGAAAATAACGAAGAATCTATTATTTTTTTTGTTGGAAATGGCGATTTTGAAGCGAATTTATTTACTGGCATTATTCTTTTAATACATACAGTTTATATGAAAAAAGAAAAAAAAAATACAAATACAAATAAAAGTAAAATAATGATGATCCCCTTCCATAAATGATAAAATTAACGAAAATCCCCTGTAAATTTATCGTCACCAATCAAATCCACGATATCGTCCATCTAATTATTCGGGTTGCAAAAGACAACCACCGACAATTCGTTTCCTAAATTCGTTAACATAAATATCCATATTTTCGGTATCGTCCAATTTAACGGAAGAAGACATCACTGTAGGTCCAATTTCCTTTTCTAATCGAAATAACGATGATTTGATCTTTTCAATATAATCCCTTAATTCATTATTTAATTCTTGTTTTTCGTTAGATTCTTTTGTAACGACTTCATTTTTTGATTTAATCTTTTGGATTTTTTCACGAAGATTATCGATTTCCATTGAAGTTGTTTTGTTTTCTTTTTCAAGTTTACGTTGTTGAGTACGTTTACCTAGTAGTAAAAAATAAATAAATATTTTGAATTTACATTCAAAAGTGAAGGAGTTGACGAATTTTGATAATTACTTTGATCATAATTGAGAAATTTCTTTGTAAAAATGGGAAATCCAAGACGTTTTTGTAGACTCTCTTGTTCATCTGTGAATCAACATAAAAGTTTTTTTAAATTTTTGGGATCCCATTGATATAAATAAATTAATGTGAGCGATTTTACCAGGAGAATTATCAAAGTTTAAGGTATTGACGAAATCTTCATAAGATGCTTCAACGTTCTATACAAAAAAAAGGTTTAATTCATCTCACACGTATTATGATATCATGTCATGGCACGCACCTTTCGATTAGTCGATTTGGAGGTCGCGATGGTAAATTCCTTTATATTATCGTCATCGTTAATATCTAAAGAATATTCGGATGAGTCAGAAGTTTGTTCATTGTAATCTGCTACTTTTCTTCCACTTCTAGTTAAACGTTGTTCTTGTTTAGAAGATTGATCATCTGTTGTTGTCGATGCGGTAAAAGGAGTAGACGAAATTGTAGAAGCTTTTCCTAAAGATTTTTTTGTTGTATTCGCGATATTACTCTGACTAGAAATAATGATCCGACAATGCAAAATCAATCCGTTACAAACGAGAAACTTGTAGAAAACAAAATAGTTATTGGGATTTTTTGATTTTTAATTTATTTATTTATTTTTTTTACCTCATACTTTTTGCGCGTTGAGCTCGTGTAAGGGTCATTTTATGATTTATTTCTTTTTTATTTATATCTTGTATTTTTGAATAAATTATAATTATTAACAAGAGAAAACAAAAAGAGACGAAAAGAAAATTTGCTTTGATGATAAAAGAGAATAAAAAAAAAAAAAAAAATCTTAATTATTTATCTATTTATTTTGCTCATTGTTAAAAGACCGACCTTGCATTGTAATCATAATTTATATACCATTTGCGTACGTTTTTATATTGATTGAGCATTATATATAATATTTCCAAAATGTGATAACAAGAGCACTTTTTCGTCATCAGTAAGGGGTTTATTGATTCTGAACTTGAATTGACTTTTCTATAATGATATAATTAAATGTGAACTGCATTTTTATTTTTATTTATTTATTTATTTATTTATTTATTTTTTGATATTATTTTATATAATCTGGTAAGAAAAAAAAATAGATTCCTCATTCAGGTTAAACTTCCTTACCCTCCTCCCCAACATTTACAAAAATATACAAAATCGAAGGAATATATATATATTTTATTATTATTAACTATCCAAAAATCGTGATTTAAAAATTAAATGTTTCACCAAAAAAAATTGTCACGTGATCAACTAACCTCTTTTCTTTTTTTTTTTTTTTTTAATAAACGCTCTTATTAATGGTCTTTCCTTTTGTTTTAAATTTGTCAAGACTTTAAATAATTTAAATTCGTCTTCTGTCATCATCATTTTTTTTATATCAGTTTCGGTAAGAGAGTCCTTTCCATCAAAATGAGCTAAGCGATGACGGACTTCGATAATTTCCCTCGCATACGATTTATAATTATTCATACTTCCAAATTGGTCATGAATAACCTTTAACGAAGGATAACGATGGATCAATTCCTCTGATTTAAAATTATTAATGTTTATCTTAAAAAAAAAACCCCCTTTCGTTAATTTATAATAAAAAAAAGTCGTTACCAAGAAGATAAAATATTTTTAATATTTACTTTATCGTGTACTTGAACGAAATGTTTGATTTCATTAATGATCTCATATTTTATAAACGTCGATTTAATTTCTTCCTTTTGATATTTATCGAAAATTAATTCTTTTCTACCGATGTTATAAGTTCGTCGTATTAGAAGATGCAAGAAGGAATTCATGGATGATATTAATTAATATGATTGTAAACGAATAAAATTATCATCGAACCTTTTATATAATTATTTCATCATATTGATTGATGAAGAGAGATTAATACATTATTATGAATTCTCAACCTTAATCTTTTAGAAAAGGTTATTGATGCCGAAACTTTGCGCCTTTGAAGCCCTTGCAGCAAGGGTTGCATTTATCACAAAAGGTCATAAATGATGTTGTAAAGGTAAAAGAAAAATACGATTCTGCCTTTAATGATTCCAATCAATAACGTCATGAGAAATAGGTTGGTTGTAGAACGAACTTGGTGAAGAATAATCAATATTAGGCACTTTTGCGCTTTCCGGTTTATAGAATTCATTGTTAATATTAATTTTATTGTGAATTGCTAATTGTTATATATATAAAGTATATTGTGCAAGCTTTTATTGAAGAGGTTCAATAATAATCAAATTATTCTATCCCCCAAACGGTTAAATTTTTTCCTTTTAAAACTTCTAGTTTTGCTCCAAATGAATTGAAATATGTAATAGGTCAACTAGGAGGAATAAAACCGGATGCTATTTTCAATTTTAATATTTACGCATATCCGACAAATTTTTAAAGTTAAATCTAAAAATTTAAATCTCTCATTGAACAAGCAGTTTTTTGAAGAGTTTACCCTTTCCGTTTAGGAAAAATACTTCGGCAAGGGTAAGTCTTAAATAGTTCATACCAATTCATAACATACTAATTAAACCAGTCGTCAATTTACAAACTACCTTTAATACTTCAATGCTTAAGAAGGAATCAACTTACGCATCTCGTATTGAGATTCACAATCTTTTGACCTTGCATAAAAAAAAAAAGCTTTTGTTACGTTATAATAATCAATCATTTTTTCTTTTTGTTTTTTTCCTAGGGATGAAAACACAATTTCATTACGTCATCTTTCAACTGCGTCGGGAGCTTGATGAGTGTGAGCACTGTATGATATTATTTAGGATGACCACTAGCACTTTTCTTACGCGGCTTCCATTATTTCTCAATTTTCAAATATTATATTTAATTGTTCTTAATGGGATATAAGTTTTTTTTAATTGTATTCTCATGTTCCAGAAATGAAACTGACTTAATGAAAACTTTCTAAACATATACAGTCCCCGGCGAAAGAATGGCGGCGAGGGTGGCACAAGGGCATTTTCCGATTAAATTCAAATTCATAATATCAAATGGGCTTTTAGAACACTACTTTAAAAAAAAAATCAAAAAAAAGATTAATTATATTTAATATTTTAAAATTTATTATAAATTGGAGCTTCTATAAATTTTCTTAAAATGCTTTTTAAAATTCTATTTAATACTTTGCTCCAATTTTGTTTTAAATAAAATTACTTACTTTTAATAAAACTTTTCTTAACAACTTGTGATCAGATTGAAATAAATTTATTCAAATGATAATATTGTAAACTCAATATTTTGTATTTAAAAATGTGTACATTTAATGTATAAGTGATTAATTTTAACCAATTTTTATTCAAATTAAAAGAATATCATTCAAACCATCAAATCTATAATAGTTATTTATTTAAATATGGTCACAAAATAATGAGAAAATAAAAATAGATAAAAATTTTGTCAATTATTAATATAAATATATGCAAAATAAGATTAAAATATATATTGATGAAGAAGAAAGCTCTATCAAAATATTATTTAATTAATAAAATAGCTGTATTTTTTTGTTTTTCTTTTAAATATAAAAAAATATTTATAATTTATTATTATTTTCATTTATGACCAAAATTGCTAAATGAAACTTAAAGGTTTTGCAATTATCTAAATAGTAAAAAGTAAAATTTAGCAAATTATATTTTATAAAAATGCATAATTACAGTCCGCGACATAAATATCCGGAATTTTATCGGTAGCACGAAAAAAGCCCCTATACCGCCAATTTATGTCTGACCAAAACAAAAATCAAAATAGCAATTTTTTAGCTATTTATAGAT